GGTCGTCGCCGTTGCTGCTGCCCTCAGCTAGCCAGGCCTGCTGTCCTCGGCCTCAAGATACGTCGAGAGGCACGTTGGGAGGGGCCTGAATGCTCTAGTGACGGGGAGGCGAAGCAAAAAGGCTTGCTGCGGGTTTGGAAGGCCGCTGGTTTTGTCCAGTCTGCCGCATTTTGTTGCTCGCGGTTCAAGTGATGCCCCAGTGTGCTCCCCACTGTAGAGGGGTGCCGAGAGGCCCGATGTGCCTCCGTGCCGCCCGCCAATCCAGGGACTGGGCCTGGGTGAGCAGCCCTGACTTGCCTAGCCCTGACTTACCCTGTAGCTTTTAGGAATGCAGGTAAAAGCTCACTGAGGATCTGTTTCTCTTTTAAAGTGAGAAATTTTGCTAACTTTGATGAAGCAAGTATACGTGTGTGTTTGCGTAGACACTGACAGTGCCGTGGGCCGAATGCACAAGGGCAGTTCGACTACCTTTGTCTTGACTGGGAGACTATTTCTCCATCCATTGCTTTTGGGTGGGGGAGGGGAATAAAAAAGTGCCAAAGCAAAATATATGGTTATTTCAATACATTCTTTATATCAGAAGTATTTTACCAGTTCTTACCTGCTTTTTAGGTCAGCGGAAATTCAGAAATTTCTTTCAGCTCAGCTATTTTCAGTGGGTCCAGAATATGTTTCTTTGTTGCTAGTTTCTCCCATGGTTGGAACGCAGTTGGCCTGTGTCCATGCCATTCTTAGTTTACTTTATATCCATCTCAGTTAAAATATTCTGAGGAATAACATAATTGCCCGCCAGGAAGAGAGGATTGTATTTAAAGGCTGCTGTTACATATCTGTCCTACATTAATGTTCCTTTCTGCTAAATGTTTTTTATTATCAAGGCAGTCCTTGAGCTGCAGGACTCCAGAGTGATTTACATAGGCATCAGTTATGCAATCTCTTTCTGAGGGCGCTGAAGTACAATGAAGCAAAGTATTTGGTTGGAGTTCTGAGCTGATTTAAAATGCACTACTGAAATGGCTAACAGAACAAACTCATCGGAGTATTTTTGGTCTTATGAATATTATTGGGATTATATAGATCCAATTCCAGTAGATGGAAGGAAGTTGAAGGTTAATAAATGTAAGTATTGTAGAGTGGTAGATGCTGATCTACTACAGGAAAAATGAGTTGGCAAAATATTGCATAGTCTCTCTGACTTACTTTTTTCCTTGTAATAGATACCATGCTAGCTTATGTGTACGTGGTTTGAATGGATGAGTGTCTGTGTTCCAAACTATCTTAACTTACGTACTGATAGCAATTTCTACTTATACTGAAGCTATTTGATTTATTTTACGGTATTTCAAACTGTAAGACTGCTGACATTAACTCTGATTTAGAGGACGGATTTTTTTTTTTTTGACCATTTGCTAAGTAGAGATCTAATGACATGCAAATCAGTATTTTGGGGTGTTCTTTATCTGCATGCTACCATCAGAAAAGATGACGGAATGAACAGATATGTTCATAAGACTATAGTGTTTTCCTCTTGGAACATAAAGCTTATGCTAGAACTGATTTAAACACCGTTAGAGCCTTGATAAGAGAATAAGTTTATGCTTTCACCAGCCAGGAACAGCAAACTGAAAACATATTCTATTACTTTTTTCCCTTTGAGCTTTTATTTGGCATCCATCTCTAAGCAATCCTATTGATTTTTGTACTAAACCAAAAATAATGTATGAGAAAAGCTATGATTTAGTACTCCTGAACTGTAAGACAATGTAATAATACACATTATTGTCCACATACATTATGATCATGGAAACAGACTCTGCGGGTTTTAAAAGTTTATTTTCAATGGATATGAAATAACATTCACCGAATCCAGTCATATTAACAAAGTATCGGACTGTTAATTCTGTTGCATGCTTGGTTTTACACAAGGACATAGTGATGTCTTTTTTGGTTACTTAACAGGGAAGGTCGATTTCTTTCCTCTTGTAATTGCATTGGTTTGATTTTGATAAGATAAAATGACAATTCATGTCATGAGGGATTAATGTAACCCAATATAATTGGACAGAGTGACAATGATCTAGGGAGAGCGGGCAGGCATATCTGAGTCACCCAGGCTATAGGCAGTATCTCCCTCCCATTTCTGCCAAGTCTCTATCTATGGTATCCATCAAACAGCTATGGACATTGCTGGTTGCTATGTAGTTTACCAAAGACTCTGATTACCCAGGTGTGGTTTCAGGGACCAAAATAGCTTTGAACAAGGTCATTACAGTGATCTAGTCTGTAAGGAGTACAGGATACTCTGCCAGAACATTGTCATGTCTTTGTAATTAACAGTGCCAGAAACTGCCTTGTTGACAGTGAAGACTGAACCGGACAGTACAGGAACGACCGTTCATACCATCCACTTGGGGCATCTAGCTTAGGTGCCTGTGCTGGTAGCTTGGTGTCTTTGACCTTGCTGTATCGTCAGCGGAAACACTTATTTCACGTTGCCTGTGGAAAAGCTCTGTTTCCACTGAAAGGATATGTGGCAAGGGACACATCTGGCAAGGGGTGTCAAGGACAACAAGAAGGGGTTCTTCAAATACATCAATAGCAAAAGGAAGACTAGGGAAAATGTGGGCCCGCTGCTGAATGGGGCGGGTGCCCTGATAACAAAGGATATAAAGAAGGCAGAGTTATTGAATGTCGCCTTTGCTTCAGTCTTTACTGCTGAGGCCATATACTGAATGCCTTCTTTGCTTCACTCTTCGCTGCTAAGGCCAGCCCTCGGGAATCTCGGACCCTGGACACCAGGGAGAAAGTCTGGAGAAAGCAAGACTTTCTCTTGGGCGAGAAGGATCGGGTTAGAGATCATTTAGGCAAGCTTGACATCCACAAATCCATGGGCCCCGATGGGATGCACCCCTGAGTGCTGAGGGAGCTAGCGGATGTCATTGCTAGGCCACTCTCCATCATCTTTGAAAGGTCATGGCAATCAGGAGAGGTGACTGAGGACTGGAAGAAAGCCAATGTCACTCCAGCCTTCAAAAAGGACAAGAAGGAGGAGCCAAGGAGCTAAAGGCCAGTCAGCCTCACCTCCATCCCTGGAAAGGTGATGGAGCAGCTCATCCGGGAGACCATTTCCAAGCACATGAAGGACAAGAAGGTGATCAGGAGTAGTCAGCATGGATTCACCAAAGGGAAATCATGCTTGACCAACCGTATAGCCTTCTGCGATGGGATGACTGGCTGGGTAGATGAGGGGAGAGCAGATGTCCACCTGGGCTTCCGCAAGGCTTTTGACACTGTCTCCCATCACATCCTC